GGCAGTTTCGAATTCAATTGCCGGTATCGGGCACTTAACTTTGTGTAAGCTTCACCACCACCGTTAGGCCTATATTGTAAGCTTCACCACCGTTACGCATATATTGTAAGTTTTACCACTACCGTTTGACCTATATTATCTCCATCATAAATGAGTATGGACTACTGTTTCTTGATATCTTTTATTCATGAACTATGACATCTAGAATGATGGAGATCTGAAACATATTGTTGCGTCATCGAGATCATGTGATTCTCACGCTTTCTACTTTCTAGAATTATCCTGTACTTTGGCGAATGCTCTAGTAATTACTAGATATAGGGTAGGCTGGTATATAAAAGAGGGGAATGTAATGTGTGAGTAGATAGTGAGTAACTGAACTGCAGTCACAGGGTATTGTTGAAGTTAACGTTCGTTCGTTATAGTGTTTGTTTTAGCGCGAATATTGAAACAAGTGTATCGGTAAAGTTATATTCGGAAAGAATAAATCAGTTTCATTAAGAAAGGACTTGTGTCGCTTAAGTTTCGTCGGAACGAAGTTACGGAAAGTTAATTAACAAACGGAGACGTAACAACATAGACGTAACAATATCTTTATTGATAAACCTGTCATTTTATTTTATCTTTTACACAAGCATCGATCATTCATAGTTAGATATGTTTAATTTTATGTTTATTACAGCGTTATTTTGAGAAATAGATAGGTATATAGATATTATATTATCACGTCATAAAAAATATTGTAACTTTCTATTCCATATAACAGAGGATATCCTACAAAGGTGGCGCTGCCTCTTATGTGAGTTAGTAAACTCCAAACAAATAAATTGACCGCTCGTGAAATCCGTCGCCTCTAGGTAACCTAGAAACGTTTACAGCGAGTTAGGGCGATCGTTTACTAGGCCGCTTCATATTAAAGTACGAACTTCAAAGAGAGTTGAGTTGTGTTTAACAGGTGGCTCGTTTTGTTTTATTGGATCCATATATAATCTCCAAAATGTCGGGATTATTTCAGAAACTTGTGGATACTTACAGATATGCTTTAGCACAGGGAGGTAAGTTATTAATAATACTTGTTATATGGATTTCATATACGGTGTATTTGCCATGAATTGAATTTGAAGAAGTATATAGAACTTGATTAGAAGTTCAAAAAACTAGACAATTGAGGATTAGGTTCAACGAACTTTTACGTTATGCAGAAAGCACATCTTGCAGTTTGTTGCTATTAATGTAAAACCAGTAAACGGGGAGCCTACTTTTTTCTAACATGTACACTTGTGTGTGTGCTTACCTGTGGTTTTTCTGTTACTAATACTATTGCTATTAGATTTAGAACCCATTTAATTTCTGACGTATTCTGTTTAAATGAAGTAAAGTGTATATATACACAGTCTTTACAAATATTCAATATCAAGAGCAATATGTATTTAAAGATATATTAATGCAACGTCAGATATATATATATATAAATATATTGATATACACTTTTGTTTTTAACGGTTGTTTTGTTAAAAATTCATTGATATGGTCCTACAATTCTTAGAAACTTTAACCTAAGTTTAACTTTATCGTATTTTCTTGCACTAGTTGCAGTATTTCTGAACTTATTTCCGGATCAACAGTCAAGTTAAAGAATCATTCTGTTTCCATTATCTGTACTGAGACGAGTGTTAACATTTTTAAGACAGACGAGCTAATAGTTAGATCAGCTGAGAAATATCCATAAAGATGTAAACAAGAGTTGGTATTATTGGCTTAATTTTGGCATATTTTGGTGGGCACTTTTGAATAAACTTATTATATTATATTATTAAATGTGAGAAAGTTAAACTTCGTGTTACGATGTTAAGCGTCAAAAGCTGATAGACTCAAGGGCTCAATAGGCCTAATATTAGTGGTAACAAAATGGCAAAGCAAACACTGAGGGTGTTTTTCCAAATTCCTTCCTCCCAATTAATCCATTATAGATATCAAAATTCAAATAAGAGATGGGTAAAAATGGCACTATAGATATATATATATATATTATTTCTAAGCGACACAGGTCTTTCAGTTTCATCAATACAAGAATTTTTCAACTGGGCTGAACATAATGACAGTTAAAACCTTATTCAGAATACTAATTTTTATGCATAAAGTTATAGTATTAACTTTGAAAGTGAAAGGTAACGAGATAATGGAACCAATGAGCCTAATAATTAAAGTCAGAATATTTTGGAGATGTTTTTCGCCACTGAACCTTACGAATTACAAATTAAAGATGTGTAAGTATAGCACTAAAGATCTATTTAACGCCGGGGTGGGGGCTCTTATGTCTGTAGCATTAGAAAGCTTAACTGTTAAATAAAAATTGTTGAGTGTTTTACCACTGCTTTCATGAAGTGCAATTGTTAAGCC